GAATATTCATATTTGACCTGATTGTTTATAGTTCATAATGCGTGATCAAAACCGAAAATTTCTGTGATGAATGCCCTTGTACTGTTCACCATGTAAGAACTTATTCACTATGTAAGAATTCGTTCACCATGTAAGAACTTGTTTGTTATGCTTCAGAAGATTGGAGACTGAAGAGAACTCGGCTTGAGATGGATTAATGACTGTGCATTGAGCATTAACCCCCCTATACAGAATTTTATTGTTGTTAACAACCATTTGATCAATAAATATGAGAGATGCCCTCTCAAGAAAAAAAATGTGAAAGATTTCTGTGCATTGACTACGTATCCTACAATTATACTGAATTCATTTATTAATTCTAATAGTTTTCTGATGGAGTTTTAGGCTCTTCTATATATAATATCATACCTTCTGCAAATAATGACAATTTTACGTCTTCCTTAAAAAAAAAAAAAATCTCCTGGCCTCATAAGCTGTTTCCTAAAGAAATTTTTCACCATTTTTATTATGAACAGATAACATTTCAGAACTACAAAATTTATGACAATATTCTATGCGACAATAGCAGGAAGTACACTTCTAGACTTTCAGAATGTAACTCCTGAATGAATATAACTCTCAAATGGAAGTTTCTCTGGTTTAGCTTACTGAAATGTAATTGTGTATTTTTGCTTAATGTCTAAATAAAGTAAAAGCTGTCACTATCCACCAATATAAGTAACAGCTTGTCCAAGACAAAAAAATAAAGGCTAAGGCTGTTTTGTAGCAAAACTGGCCATCTTGCACCAGAATGAAGGGATCTTAAAACACACTCCAAACTCCACTAAAATGGAACCTCTATTCTGAAGAACTTTTAAGAATTACAGTTGGACTATTTATATTATTGGTCCCAGTGAGGAAAGTGTTAATGACAATGATAATACACACTTATACTGTGTTTACTATGTGACAGGCAGTTTTTTCTGTGTGCGTGTGAATGTAGGAACAGATTAAATTTCATGTTGTAAATTTTTTTAAAAAGCTGGCAGTCTTATTTTCTGCTGTTAAAAGCCTAAGGTTAGTGATCGTTAAAGAAATGCGAAGACACTAGATAAAAGTGGGCAATATGTCCTGTTCTTTCCAAACATGTGAATAGAACAAAAGGATGGAAGACCTAAGCAAACTAGTGTTTGCTTTTTTTGGTGTGTTGTTTTTCTAATATACATAAAATCCTTCACACCATTATGTTTTCAAGGGCACTGGACTTGACTGTAAGAAAATTAATTATTGGGGCCAGAAGTTAGATCATATGTGATGAAAAGTTCCTCCAGGAAAAGTCATGCTTGCAAACCAGCTAACTCAACTCCGATTACCCAACTGTTAAAGCTTCATATTTATGTCACAGCACTTGAAAACATAAACTGTAATTGGGACTAATTTTTAGCTTCCTCTCTGATTAGCCATTCACAGGCCAGAAAAGGACTGTTCAACACTTAACAGTTTGTTTCCGCAGTTCCTTACCTATGTTTCGTTATGGAACTTGTTGCCTTTAACAATGAAGGAAGTTGTCATATCCCATTGATCAGGAATAGGATAGAAATCAATCTTGAACTAAAGGAGCTTAGTTCTGACTTTCAACTAGTACAGAGGGTAAATAAATTTTTCCTACAATTACTTATACTGTGAAGAGTTACTCAAAGGGTGAGTTGTTCTCACCTTTCAATAATCACACAGATCTTCATTTATCAGTCATTTGTGGATGTATGGATAACGAATACCTAGGATAACTCTACGTAAACCATACAAACTCTACCTCTCACTTTCTCTATTAGAACATACACATTGGAGACCTAAGTTGCAAACATTTCCTCTACTGAAGATGGTGAGATTTAGCATGAGCCACAGAGGTCCAACTTTTTGAATGTTTATAGAACACTGGCCCTTAATGATGGAAGAGACTTTAATTTAAAAAACAAAATTATATTTTTAAAAGCCTAAATTGACCCAATTTATTTTCAAAATAAGAGTTTATCTGTATTTTCAGCTTCTTGCCATACACACATTTCATAAAATATGGCAGGTTTCTGCTCAACATCTTCATGTAAAACTTCACAATGTAAGAAAGTATAGGCTAGAAGATTTTTGCAATTCTTCCTAAAAAATGTCGGCACATTCCTTAAATGTTCAGGTTATAAAAAACCACTTAGGATCTACTTCTTATCCTTCACTATAATTTTATATCTAAATGGCATCACATTAAATGCTGGTGGACAAAACAGTATAAGAATCTAAAAACTTTTCAGGTTAGTATAATGATTTAAAACCAACGGGGAGAATGTTTCCCTCCAAATATTTTTATATGCAATTTTCTGTCCATTACTGCAATAAAGTAAAAAAGCCATTATGCCTTAGAAGCTAAAGGAAAATATTTCACTTTTCCCTAAGACATACCATTTCTTAGCTTTCAAAGAGTGAAAAACTTTTAATTTTTTTTTTTTGGTTGGGGAGAAGAGGGTTTCATAAGTAAAAACAGGGGGGCAGAGCCAGGATGGTGGCGTGAGTAGAGCAGTGGAAATCTCCTCCCAAAACCACATAGATCTATGAAAATATAACAAAGAAAACTCTTCCTAAAATAGAGATCAGAGGACACAGGACAACATCCAGACCACATCCACACCTGCAAGAACCCAGTGCCTCACGAAGGGGGAGAGGAAGGCCACAAACCAACAAGAAGGGAAGCTCTTCCAGCGGTCACTCGTACCAGCTCTGCAAACTATCTCTATCACCATGAAAAGGCAAAACTACAGGCAGACAAAGATCACAGAGACAACACCTGAGAAGGAGACAGACCTAACCAGTCCTCCTGAAAAAGAATTCAAAATAAAAATCATGAACATGCTGACAGAGATGCAGAGAAAAATGCAAGAGCAATGGGATGAGATGCAGAGAAAAATGCAAGAGCAGTGGGATGAAGTCCGGAAGGAGATCACAGATGTCAGGAAGGAGATCACAGAAGTGAAACAATCCCTGGAAGGATTTATAAGCAGAATGGATAAGATGCAAGAGGCCATTGAAGGAATAGAAGCCAGAGAACAGGAACGTATAGAAGCTGACATAGAGAGAGATAAAAGGATCTCCAGGAATGAAACAACACTAAGAGAAATATGTGACCAATACAAAAGGAATAACATTCGTATTATAGGGATACCAGAAGAGGAAGAAAGAGGAAAAGGGATAGAAAGTGTCTTTGAAGAAATAATTGCTGAAAACTTCCCCAAACTGGGGGAGGAAATAATCGAACAGACCATGGAATTACACAGAACCCCCAACAGAAAGGATCCAAGGAGGACAACACCAAGACACATAGTAATTAAAATGGCAAGGATCAAGGACAAGGAAAGAGTTTTAAAGGCAGCTAGAGAGAAAAAGGTCACCTATAAAGGAAAACCCATCAGGCTAACATAAGTAAAAACATCAAATTTATGTCAGCTATACAAATGTCTCATTTAAGAAAGTGAATACTTTGATTCAAAAAATTCTAAACTATTTCATCATTTCACAAGTATAATTTAAAGCTAAAAACTTGTTATACATTGAATCAATATAAATCATCCACTAGCATGTCCTATTGTTTTTCACAAAATCCATAATTAAGGAATGACAGATTAAGTAAAAGATCTCTTTTTCAAGCATTTGGTTGGATTAGCTAAGTCGTCCTGGGCAAACCACATATCCTGAGTCTTGGGATTATCTCTCAAATAAAGAGCCTGGACTAACTACCCTTTAACATCTCTTCCAATGAATACATTTACATAGAATTATTAGGCTTATGAAATCCTTTTGAGAATGAGGTGTTTCAATTCAATGTATTTTCCAGATAAATAGTTTCCCTATTTAAGTAGTAAATCTGTTCTTTAAACTTTTAAAATCGTACTTTAAAATTTATTTTCAGTGTATTTCTCTGTCACCTTAAAAGATGAGGTATGCCTAACAACACAGTCTCCCAACTTAATGGTCTCCCAGACATGGCAGGTGACAGTGACCAGCAGTTACAGCTTGGGCTCCAGATCCAATTCTGTGCATCTCTGGGCCACATTCTGAGTCTCAAAAACAGGATGATACCACCTGCTGCATACTCCATTTTAAAGTTCAAGGGAGGCATCATACTATACCAAAATATTTGTAAAGTACAAATCACCATATGAATGCAAAGGATTGTTGTGCTAGCCCCAATTAACTTTTTTCTAATAACAAAGATCTAGCTATTTTAAAAATGTTCTTTGTCAATACTGGTGCATTTATGGTTCCGAAGGTTAATCTGTCTCCTCCTTCTAATTATGCTAATAGCATCAGGCCTGAAATTCACTTTTTCTCTTCTGGAGTCCAGAAGTCTGAACTTTCAATAGGTAAAAACCAAAACCTAAAGATCTATTACTTTAGCAAATGTAGTATCACCATTTCTCACTTTAAAAGAGTGGTTTCCTAACGAGGTAAGCATTCAGACTTACCTAGGAAGCATTCTAAAAACTGAGATTCCTGGGCTCCAGTCCTAGTCTGATTTCGTATGTCTGGAGTAGGACCCAAAAAAACTCTGCTTCTCAAAAGCTCCATCATATAATCTCAACAATCAATAGCTCAGTTTTTGGGACTCACTACTGCTTTGCCCTCAATTTCTTCTCTAGAAATGAGGAGCTGCTAGTTCGTTTTTATTATAAAAATTTCCCCTTGCATGATCACAAGCACATTTAAAGTAGATTGCCCATGATTCTGGCTTAGCTCAACAGGGAACTAGTCATTATAATCCTTTGGAGTTAAAGTTTAAAATGATAAATTCACTTCAGAGTGAAAACAATGCATGTAGATGCTGAAAGGTGGCTGGTTCTACACTTACAGGGCAATTGTTTTCTGCCTTACTTGTAATTAGTCACTGGCAAATCTGAAGACCACATTATTATGCCTGTCATTACTAAATAAATGATGGTAGCATCCTCCAAAAAAACAAAAAGATGGCTAACTAGCTAATCACTATTAGTAAGAAAATGTCTCTAGCAGACATAAAAGTATTTTTGAAAGCTACACAGCTTCCCGTAGAAACACAAAGCCTTCTGCACTTCTTAAGGCCACCATGAAGAGGAAGGTTGACCAAAACAAGTTGTTTAAAAACATGTCCAATTAATTGTGAAAATACAAGTGTAAAATAGGTAGAGTTTCATCCTCTACAAAGTTTAACAGGCATAAATGGAATTCACTGTTCCTTTACTCTACCTAAATAGTTAATTGTGAAGATGACACATTAAGTATTTGGTATAATACACTTCTGAACACCATCCCTTCCAAATCTAATACAAAAGCAATGCTGGGATTTTCCAGGTGTTCCGAGTATATCTAGGCACTCCGGAATGTTGTCATGTCTTTCGGCTCTCTGCTGGGGACACACCAGTCATCGGCCTCATGGTTGGTGTTGTAATGCTTCCAGGCAGCTTTATTATACACTGGGAGTCTTTCTATTGATTCTGTTGACAGAGCCTGAAAGAAAAAACAAGAGCTAAGTGTGACATTTTTTTAGAATCCATTATTTGAGAATATATACAATGGCAAAATGGTTATTACAATTAAACAATACTTTATTGGGTATTCATTTTCTTCCTCATAATACCATCTACATACATTTTAAAAGAGCATATATATTCACTAAGTCTACGGCACTCCTTGGTGTGCACAATGACCAAATTTGTTGCTTGCAGTAATTCTCCTGTTGGCCTGGAAGTTGCTGGATCGAAATATTACACAGGTGTGATAGATACTTCTTATAAATCACAACCCAGGACAGAAAGTGGTTAACTAAAAAAGTCAGGCATATTTCAATTCAATTTCATACACAATTGAAAAAGTGTAAAAGCATAAAAGTTGAAATATGTACCTCAACATATGTAATTGTACATCATTTAATGAAATATTTATTAGAAGAAATATTTTATCAGTATAATCACTATACTTTAAAAAAGTCATCATATTAATATCATTGTCAATAAACATAAAACTATTTCTAAGACATCTTGGCTTTTGCCTGAAAAATTCTTGGACCTGGGTTTGATCCTGGGCATTGTGTCTTCTTCTCCTGCCATTAAAACCACCAATTTTGGTTACAAACATTGTGATTTTTGCATCATGCATAATTTCATGTTTCCAACACATCATTACCATTAATTGTCTGTTCTATTTCAGCTTCCTGTAAATCACTAGAACCTGAGATAAACTATGCTCTTTGCTATCTTCAAGTTAGGATATGTCAGTAGGATTTCAACCTTAAGCCACAGACATTCCCCAAGGTATAGAAAATACTGAATAAGAAATTTCATTCTAATAACAGTAAGGAAGGTCTTTAATGATGACTTTAATGATTCTAGAAGACTTCCTGCCTTCTATTTTTTCCAAAATGGAACTAAAAACCTTTCACCTATATATTCTCTTTAAATATGCCCAAAATGCTAGAACCCCTTCATCTATAGGCTAGACTAAAAATATTCCATTTGGTGATAAGAAAACTGCCTTTATATTGTCTTTTCTAAGTTCCTAATGGTTCAGATGGCTTAAAAAAACAAAAGAACGTTATCTTGAAGGAATTTAACCTCTTCCATCAAATTTTTTTTTTCCCATATAAAGTCTTCAGTATTTCGTATGAAATAGGTGCCATCTGGTGGCCAGAACAAGAAACTAGAGTCACTAAATAATTAGGTTAAATCAGTCCTTTTATGCTGTAAAAGACAGCATAAAAATCAAGGGGGATTCTGCATTTGGTTATTTCTTTGTTTAAAAAAACCAAAACAATGCATTGTAAGTATAGCTTCTGCAGGAAAGACTATTGCAACTTCAAACTGCAGACCCATGCATGAAGAAAAGGCCTTGGCAGGACATTAAAGATTGATTGGTGCATCAATGTCCTTTCATGTGTTTCATGTTAAAATTAAATTTGTAAGATAAATATCTTCCTCGCTTTAACCCAATTTTTTTTCTATTAATGACCACAGTCTTGATCATTACAGATAAAAACACTTCTTTTCCCACAGTTAGAGATCATTTATCAAAATAGATGAGATATGTAAAAAAACCTATATTCATATATTTTCACAGCATGAGGTAGAGGAAAATTTCATTAACAGTTAAATATTGGCACTTTTTCTTATAATGAAGAAAGTATCATTAATTAAGACAACTATAGTTATTACCTTAATGTAGATAACTGCATCTGTCCCATAACCCTCTAAGGAATATAGCTTTAGGTCTCCTTGGAAGTATTGTGCATAAAGACGTGATATGGGCAATCCATAACCAAAACCAGCCTGTTTGATGAGAAAAATGAAATTCAATTCAGAATGCCACACATTGAAGTACTGCTCTAATTAAAGTAAATGCTACTGAGTACCTCAGGCTATCATAGTCCAGATCTAAGGGATCCACTAATACGTCCAGATCTAAGGGATCCACTAAGCCGATGCCAAGATGAGTACTACACTAACTCCCCTCTGGTCATTTAAAGCTCCCCATTCTTCTCTTTTCTATAAGAGGACTTGTGGGGGTTTGGAAGAAGCATGTTGCTTTTCTTCATTGGCCTACTCTAGAGCATCCCAATTCTGCTTTTGGCAGTTTTCACATAAACACGTTCTCTTTTTTAGGAGCAAGAGTAGAAAAAGCCTGTTGCAGCTAAAGAGATGTTATCTCATGACTTCACACCATGAATTTCCAGCCTGTGTTCTGAACTTGGAGAGATGCTTAATAGGTCTACTTTCCTACTCAATGACAGGTCACTTCCTTGCTATAAAATCTTTGGAGCACACCCCCACTCCCACCCACCCCTTCGGCCCCACCACCATCCTCAATCCATTGGCCTTGAGATACAAATCCAAGTTTCTAAAGAGTTTTCAAGACTTGGTAAGATCAGGTCTCTGCCTCTTACTTTCTAGTTCAGCTGAACTAAACCTCCTGCTTTCTAAGTTACTCAAACATTATTTTTCACTCTGTGTCTTTGTTCATCCTGTTCCCAGTATCTGGAATGGCCTTCTTTACCTGGATAAATTTTACAAATTCTTTATAGCAAAGCAAAACACCTGGATAAATGTTAAAAACCGTTTTTATCACCAAGTCAGATGTTCAATGACATTCCATATAACACTTTAAGTTAAGAGCTTATGTGGATTCAGGAATCAGAGTGCTATTAACAAATCCAGGCTCTGGCTTTACCTACTTCCACCATCTACTTCCACTAGCGTTGCTGTTTGCCCCTCAAAATCCACTACCCATTCTACTACTACACATTTCTCCTTGCCCAGGGAGGCTAACCTGAATGGACGATGTTAATGGAGTCCCGTGCCCTCTGCTTCCAGTGGGTCCAGCCAGTGGGGAACTCAGTCAAGTCACGTATTCATTCCCCTGCTTCCTTCCTGCTGAGGTTGCTCCCCTTGGGTGGGCCCCATGAGTGTATGCAGCTGCTCTGCAACTCCTTCCCTCTGGGTTCTGCTAACTGCTCCTTCTCCCTTTGATTCAGGGTGGCACTAGCCTGACTGATTCTACTGATTCTAGCCTGCTAGAATTGAGCCTACTGCTGCTAGCCCTGGATCCCCATACTATCTGTACCTATAGCTCGGTAATTGGTCTCTTCACAAATAAGCCTTCCTTGAACTATCATAATTTGAGTGAGCTATCACTTTCCTGTTAGGAGCCTGATAAGTTAACTGGTTCCAGAAATGGCCCCAAGAAAACCATGAGAAGGTGCAGTAGGGCCTGAATCTACTTTACCATTGCCTCTCCCTTAAGTACACCTATGGACTTATGGGGCTTCTCCTATAAAGAGTTAACAGGGAAGAAAAACAGCACGGGCTTGTCCACTGATGGATCTATAGTGTGCCAGCACCAGCCAAATATGGACTGCCTTTTCATTATAACCTCTCTCAGGGGCAAGCCTAAAAGATAGGAGTGAAAGTAAATCCTGCAGGGGCAGAACTTGAAGTGATAGACCTTCACAGACTCATGGGCACTGGCAAACAGGCAGGCTGGCTGCTCGGTTGGGGACTCGGAAAGAATAAAATTGGTAACTGATGAGAAGGCAGTCTGGAAGAGATAAACGTGGATGGTCCTCTCTGAATGCCCACCAAAGGCAGCCACATGGAGGAAGCTCTCAGGAATCAGGTGGACAAAACAACCGCTATTATCCAAGTCAAGTCGCCTTTCTCCAGCTGCCCAGTGCTTCCTTACTTGGTCCACTTACAATGTGGTCATGACGTCAGGAAGGATACTCTGTAAAGCTTAAAAAGTCTTATCTTTGGTAAGTCTATATAGATATACAGTGGAGCCTGCCATGCCACACCTGTTTTCTTAAAAATTCACAAAAATTTTGTATCCTGAACAGCACAACACAATATGTGGCATTCACTATGTGCTAGGCACTATAAAAAGTATTTATGTATATATTAACTTAATCTGCACTTGATTTTTAAAGTTGGGGAAAGTGTGGTTTTAGAAGGTCAATAATTTTCCCAAAGTGACACAGCTAGGATATAATGGTTTGGGAATGGAACCAGACCATTTAGATTTAGTCTGGACTATAACACTATGCCACTCTCCACAAAAATCCTACAATATCTGTTTACTCCAGAAGCAGTACAGCAGTACCCCTTTACCCACAGTTCCACTTTGCTCGGTTTCCATTACCCTTGGTCAGTGGCAGTCCAGAAGCAGGGGATCCTCCTTCTGACAGACTGTTGGAAATCAACAGTAGCCTAACACTGCATCACAATGCCTACATCATTCACCTCATTTCATCTCATCACGTAGGCATTTTATCATCTCCCAACATCACAAGTAGGGTGAGTATGGTACAGTAAGATATTTTGAGAGTGAGAGAGACCACATTTACATAACTTTTAGAGTATACTGTTACAATTGTTCAATTTATTATTGTTGTTAATCTCTTACTTTGCCTGATTTATAAACTGAACTTTATCACAGGTATGTATGTATAGGAAAAACATAGTATATATAGGGTTTGGTACTATCTGTGGTTTCAGGTAACCACTGGGGTTCTGGAATGTATCCCCCACAGACAAGGGGGAACTATTGTATATCCCTTCTCTCCCCTTACTTCTTAGGGTAAAATCAGAATCTAAGAAGATGCTTATGTTTATTATTTGACCTTGCCTGCAGGCCTTAGCACCTGCATGCCTAATCTGGGAGTCACATACTTCAATTTGAGAAGCATATTACTAATCATTATAAAGTATGGTAGTATATGACCCATATTACAGTTGTAGCCACAGAATTTGTGCTATTATAGGTAAAGCTATTAGAATGAAGTCCTTCAAGTAACTTCCTAGGAAGAAGCCAAAACAAGATCCATTTAATTCTGTATTTCATCATGTTACAGTATAACCCTAGTGTTCCATATGCCAGAGAAGTTTCAAAGCCTAGAAAGAGTACATTTTCTAGAATTTCAGGTCAAAGATTTGGCTTTTCTGGGGGTAGGAGGCAAAGGATAGAACCAATTCAAAAGCAAATTTTATTAAACCTGAAAATAGGTGACTAAGATCAATAAAGAATTCCATCAAAATAATTATAATTTGAGCCATTTCCAGGCTGGTGATTCAACTAATCAGAACTCTAGTCTTATTTCTCAGTTAGAACATCTAGTAATTTCTAATTATATAACCTTAAGGAAAAAAAAAATCAACACTGAAGATTAAATCAGTGTTGACCAAATACTAGTAAAACCTGTAATTTAGTCTTCATGTGAGAAACACTATCAAAATGTGGTTTACCGCAGGAAGGCTGTTTACCACAGCTTATCACCATCAAGCTTGGCAACAAGAACTCTACAGCCATACTCTCCGTCTCGTGCTCTTTTCAATCAAAAGAAAAACGGAGCCAAGAGGCTGTTTAAATTTAGAGAAAAGCATTTTTTTCTAATAGCTTCCCTTCCTTGTGTACCCTATACAATGGCTTAACTCACTTATTTGGTAACTGATATACTTCTCTGGCAATTTACAAAAACACACCATTATTTTTTGAACACGTACCAGGGGCACTGCTCGGGACGTCTCAACACGAGGCCGGGGTGCAGTTGAGTACATGTAGTTGAAGAGCCTGTCAATTTTCCTCAAAGGAACACCACCTCCTCGGTCACTCATCTAAGATAAGAAACAATCCTGCCCTATGAACAAGTCCCATAAACAGCAAATACCAATACATATAGTGTCACAGTTTAACTGCTGACAGAAGAGTACTGCTTTTCAAAATGAATACCATGCAATCCAAGTTGCAAATGTAAACATTTCCCTCACTGGTGGTCTTAACGCTGCTCCTCTAATATGCAGAGTTCTAATAAGCTCCATCATACTATAAATTCAATGCTGTGGCTTCATATATTTGCAGAAGTCACACTAACAGTGCAGTATAGTACAGAATGGGGCATAAACTAGTCTACCTTAGATCAAACAATAAATTTGTTCTGGATGGACAGTTTGCCAATCAGATTAAAAAATGCACAAAGCCTTTGACCCATGAATGTCAATCCTAAGAAAACAGGAAAGTATGCAAAGTATGAGAATATCCATGACAGTACTATGTAGAAAAGCTAAAACTGGATTACAACCTAAACAGGGGACTTAAATAGTATACTATTTAAGTTACTTAAATAGTAAACCAATGTACATTCTAAAACAGAATCCTATTTAGCCATTAAATATCATGTAGAACTATAGGTATTCGCACTAAAGATGTCCACAAAATATTGTTAAGTAGCATAGACTGCCCCTCAGACAACTTCCTGATGAGTTTGTAAAGTATAGAGGACCTTATATTGTTCTTAAGTCATTTTCCAACTCAAATCATGAGGTAGGATCAATTTAGTAGTTTATTTACAGACTATTTTCATTCTGTTTTCCTTCATAGCTAATACAGACTTATTTTCCTATTGTACAGTTTATATTCTAATCTACTATAGTCATTTCCTTTTGTCACAAAATCTAAATCAATTCCACTATTTATAACATTAATATAGTTGTCAAATGCAAACAAATCTGCTTTTAATATATGTATAGAAATATATACAGAGAGAAAATAATGTTAAATGCTATATTAAAAAGTTAATAAATTGGATGGCTAATAATAGTTCAGTATTTATGAAGTCTAAACATCTCTATAGTAAGTATATATAATGATTTCATAATGGAAATTACACAGCAATTTTTAATTTTTAAAATTAAAATCTATTTTGAAATACCATTTGAAGACTTGCCTATAACACATCTACAATTAGATAATTACAGTATAAAAATATGCAAGGACTTTATTAAACAACTTATATGTAGCATTATGCTTGAAATTATTCTTGGCTTTGAATTCAAAGCCCTGTGAAAAGATTTATTTTAGTGAGATTTATAGAGTATTCTGCGCATTTTCTGAGATCCATCAACATGTTAATTATTTATCCTTAAATGCTTTGCTGCACATTTTCTGGTAACGTAAGAAGTATGGATGCTGTGTAAATACTAAGTAAGAAAACAACATACTAGATTACATATTAATATGAACAGATAGACTTCAATAAGTATTCCCTGGTTTTCCTTAACCTTTTGGCCAGGAAGACTATAGCAATACAGCCAAGTGTGAAACAAGAAGTGACCTCTAGCTGTAGGGTAGTATTAGATAAGCAGAGAGCTGAGCAGAAAGGTTGGCAACAGCTCTGAGAAGAGCTATCTTATTAGAGGTGAAGGGGGTAAGCTAAGCCACAGGAGTATAGTTAGAAACTCATAAAGGTGACCTCCTTTGGTTTGCAAACAAAAACACCATAAACTGGAACGAAGACACTTTTAAAGCAGTCAGAAGAGTTATATCAGATGATGATATACCACAGGATGTGAGTTCTTTAAGAAAAGGGAAGGAGGGATTAACAGGAGAGAGAGAGACATTTGGTCTATATATGTTTAAGACAAAAATGGCACTCTGATGACAAATATATGGAGAAAGACATATGAAAGTCAAAAAAATTCAGGTTAAGATAATCTGAAGAAAAATTGTAGAATCATGAGAACATAAGTCTATGTCAAGGAAAAGGAAAGTGATTATGAAGGGAATGGGTGATAAGGAGTAATATCAAGAAGGCTGAGGAAGAGAAGTTTGCCAATTATTTTTAAAAGTTTCTCTTCAGTGCGTGAAATCACCATTTCCCAGTGTCATCTAACCAAGACCTGCCACGCCAACTCTCTGTTCCCTGTAACACTGGGCTCTCTGGGCTCATTCATGAGTTTCAGGCTCAAGGGAAATGAACCACCACTAATGGGATGAGAGCTCTGAAGGCAGGAAATCTACTAACTCTGAACTCACCTAGAGCTCCTCAAGTCTCTTACCAACAGTTTTTTCCATGTCAAGTTTGTAAAAATCACTGACAGTTAATTATCCTCCAGCTTTTAGTAACCATGAATCTAAAGCCTGCAATGGCAGTAAGTACATACCTATCAATAATCACCCTAAATGTAAACGGTCTGAATGCACCAATTAAAAGACATAGAGTCACTGAATGGATAAAAAAACAAGACCCGTCTATATGCTGCCTACGAGAGACTCACTTTAAACCCAAAGACACACAGACTAAAAATGAAGGGATGGAAAAAGATATTTCATGCAATTAATAGGGAGAAAAAGCAGGAGTTGCAGTACTTGTATCAGATGAAATAGACTTCAAAACAAAGAAATTAACAAGAGACAAAGAAGGACATTACATAATGACAAAAGGGTCAGTCCAACAAGATGATATAACCATTATAAATATCTATGTACCCAACACAGGAGCACCCTACATATATGAAACAAATACTAACAGAATTAAAGGGAGAAACAGAATGCAATGCATTCATTTTAGACTTCAACACTCCACTCACTCCAAAGGACAGATCAACCAGACAGAAAATAAGTAAGGACACAGAGGCACTGAACAACACATTAGAACAGATGGACCTAACAGAGATCTACAGAACACTCCATCCAAAAGCAGCATGATACACATTATTATCACATGTACATGAAACATTTTCCAGAAATGATCACATACGAGGCCACAAAAAGAGCCTCAGTAAATTTAAAAAGATTTAAATTATACCAACCAGCTTCTCAGACCACAAAGGTAGGAAACTAGAAATAAATTGCACAAAGAAAACAAAAAGGCCCACAAACACATGGAGGCTTAATAATTGCTCCATCCAATGTTTCAATGACCCAAAAAAAAACAAGAGATCAAGCAATATATGGAGACAAATGACAATAATAATTCAACACCGCAAAAATCTGTGGGATGCAGCAAAGGCTGTGCTAAGAGGGAAGTATATTGCAATACAGGCCTATCTCAGGAAAGAGCAATACCACATGAATAGTCTAAACTCACAACTAACGAAACTAGAAAAAGAAGAACAAATGAGGCCCAAAGTCAGTAAAAGGAGGGACATAATAAAGATTAGAGCAGAAATAAATAAAATCAAGAAGAATAAAACAACAAAAAGAATCAATAAAAGCATGAGCTGGTTCTTTGAGAAAATAAACAAAACAGACAAACCTCTAGCCAGACTTATCAAGAAAAGAGAGTGTACACACAAAAACAGAATCGGAAAAATCACCACAAACACCACAGAAATACAAAGAATTATTAGGGAATACTATGAAAAATTATATGCTAACAAACCAGATAATCTAAAGGAAATGGACAACTTTCTAGAAAAATGAAGGAAGAACAATAGGTAGAGGCACACCCTAAAACAGGTAGGGCTTTTATAAGGACTTCTAGAACAGTCTGCTCAAGACCCTTATGAGCCTTTTTTTTTTAAAGAACAGCTTAATTAAAATATAACTCACATACCATATAATTTACCCATTTAAAGTATACAACTCAATGTTTTTCAATATACTCACAAATCTGTACAACCATTATCACAGTCAATCTCAGAACATTTTCATTACCTCAAAAAGAAACCCTGGATTCTTTATTGATTAAAATACTAATCTATTTCTTGTCCCTATATATTTGCCTATTGAGGACATTGCACATATACAAATTATATGATAGTAGCCTTCTGTGATTGGTTTCTTTCACATCATATTTTCAATGTTGTGGCATCTGTGTTGTAGCATTCACCAATATTTCATTCCTCTTATGGCCAAATAATACTCCATTGTATGGATATATCACATTTTATTCATTTACTGATTAGTTGATGAATATTGGGTTGATTCTGGTTTTTGGCTATTGTGAATAATGCCACTATGAACATTCATGCGTAAGTTTTTTCATGAATACCTATTTTCAATCCTTTGGTGTATATACCTAGGAGTGGAACTGCTGGGCTATTATCAATCTTTCTTTTCTTTAAATAGGTAAGCAATTCCTTAAGCAAAGCCTGTCCATCAGCACAGAACAAGTCTCTGCTGCATACCTAAGAGCTGTTCAGTGAACCTTGATCCATGCAGGGATGGATGACCACAAGTAATGGAAAGCAGCTTGCAGACCACCATTAAAGCACATAAACAGAAGCAGAAAAAGGTATGAAAAAGACCATGTTGGAGCAGAGCTGAAGCCCCAAAGCAGAAGACATATGGGACTTATTTTCAATCAAGCAAACCTTAATAAGCAAGTAGTTGATATATAACTAACCAAAAAACAGACAAAATTAGCATTTGGGAAAAGTGATGCATTCACCTTACTTTTTCAGCAAACAGATGGTATTGCCATGTATTTATTTGTGCCTTATTCTTTTAAATGAACAGCCAAGGGAGAGAGAAAAAAGAAATTCAGAGGAAACAGTGCACAGAGCTAAGACATATTAATTTTTTTAAAAAAAACAATTATCATTACTATCTGTCCTCAGAGATAAAAGATAAAACTGGAACAGAGTACTATAATAAAAAATGTGAGTCCCTGGAAATTTATAATAAGGTAATGGAAACAAAAATTCAATAGAAGGTCTGGGAATTCAAAGTTGAGGAACTCTCATAGAGTAGAATGAAAGTTAAAAAGATAAAGATCAGAGGAGCATTTCATGAAGTCCAACATCCTCCAAATATGACTATCAGAGAGAAAAACAATAGGAAAGAAAGTATTAAGGAAAACAGAAAATTCTAAGAGGCCTAACCCAATCAATAA